TACTTCATTGTTCACGATTAATAATTAATTATTTTATAATGTGGGTCTAATCTTGTTGTGCTACTTCATTGTTCACGATTAATAATTAATTATTTTATAATGTGGGTCTAATCTTGTTGTGCTACTTCATTGTTCACGATTAATAATTAATTATTTTATAATGTGGGTCCAATCTTGTAGTGTTACTTCATTGTTCACGATTAATATTAATTATTTAATAGTGTAAATTATTTACATCAACATCTGTCATACAGTGAGTCCAATCTTGTTGTGCTACTTCATTGTTCGCGATTAAGTTTGAAGCGTGCTGACAAAAAGAATTACTTTTCAGTTTTAAGCCTGAAGAAAATATATACATTACGCTTATAGGTGAAGTTTTTACAATGTATGTGTATGAAATAATGAAAGACAGGTTATAGTTAAAGAATATGGCATCAAAAGAAAACCTACAATTTTGACCCTAAGATCGATTTTTGACCAATATCTTCATTTGTGGATTGCGAGAAGTAACTCATTTTGTCAGCCCGCCTCACTATTTACTTCAATATCCGTCGTACAATTTAGATATGATTATGGTAATGTCGATACAATTTTGAAATGTTAACGCCAGTATCAATACAGTTTGCTTTCCCTCGCACTTATCTCATCTTATCTTGTCTTATCTTATCTTATCTTATCTTATCTTATCTTATCTTATCTTATCTTAATCGTATCAGATCTTATCTTAATCTTATCTTACCTTATCTTATCTTGTCGATTTTTTCTTTTCTTAATCTCAACTTATCGTTATCTTTATCTATCTTATGTTATATGATCTTATCTTGTCTTAACGTATTTTATCTTATTTTAATCGTATCTTATCATTTCTTATCTACTCTTAATCGTATCTTATCCTGACATATCTTATCTTAACTTATCTTGTCTTATCTTATCTGATCATATTGTATTTTATTGTATCTTATCTTAATCTTATCCTATCTTTATCTTCGTTTTTACCTTTATATTTATCTCTATATTTATCTTTATCTTTATCAAAACTTTATCTCTAACTTAGCCTGATCTTATATTATCGTATCGTATCTTATCGTATCTCACTTAATCGAATCCTAATCATTACTTATCCTATCCTATCTTATCTTACCTTCGTTTACAACACCATCGCCCGCCCCCGCCTACTTTCCCCAGGTTAGTACCCCATTCAACAGTACTACACCTGTACTTGTCTTTAGACCATTCCCAAAGGGTGGGGGGGGGGACATTAACCCTGTTCTTATGCACAGTAGAATTGTAAATTGTAAATGGGCTGATTCTTCAATGTCATGCTCATAACTGTGCCTGAACTGCAACGGGGATTGCTTCTTTTTCTTTCCT